TCTTCCTTTTTCTCCGACCTAACGTTGTTTAATGTTCCTCGAAAAATGTTGCTCTCAACACACACAGAAGCTTAGAGACTTAGTAAAACATTCTTCAGTAGGAAGAAATCAGCTGTTAATTCTATATAATGTGTCTGTTGACAAAAGAGTGTTCTAAAAAGAAAGTTATTGTGAGTGGTTAGCGTCAAGCCATGGACACGCTTTACCCCCGGGAAAGGACCCCGGAACCCATTGGATAGGAGGTTGGGTGGGCCCCAGCGCCGGTCTGAACGCAGAGGTTAGAGGAAAAATTTTATTTCAATAATTTACATTAAGCAGTATTATTCAGCTCTGTTAAAAGCAGTGGTCATGAGATTAAATACTGCTCTAAATCGTTTTTTTGTTTCATGTAGCCGCCATGTTATTTTAGATCACACAAAAATTACTTTTCCATAGCTACGTGTTTTACAAGACTGTATTCCCAGATATTTTATGAACGGGCCATTGACAATTACGCTTCACGATTTCGTTTTACGCCATGTTAGTATTATCGATTGTAGGAAATTGTAAAATACGATTACATTGTAGCTTTCGATGGCATAAAGTCCATGTCAGACAGAACCCAAATCAGTCCAGCGTTTCTTGAACTGACATATCCCTAAACATGTTCATTTCGTGCAGATAGTGCAATGAATTAATAGTAATTTATAACGGCGACGTTTTTAACTGCTTATATTGTTTAATGTTGTTTATCGACTGTCGCTAATTTTTGCAAAGAAAAGGTGATTATGTTCGAGCGGGTTGCGTGGTATTAATGGCAGACATGGAATCAAGCAATGACATAGGGTGGAATGGAAAAATTTGGACGTCGTAATCACACCCAACGGGATTACTTGTGTCTGGATTTATTGATATTGAGATTCAATTTAATTATTACGAAACCCACAGGGACATATAAACACTCACCATTACCGAGGACACATGCAAGATATAAACATTTGCTTACTCGTATGATCTGTTATAGAATTTTTACGTCACTTCTGAGACCTTCGGCATAAATATTTAAAGTCTGTTGATATCGAATCGCGGTACTAGATTTCACATAACTCGAAACAAATTTCGAATATCGCGTGTCTAGAGCGCAGCAGCAAACTGAACCGATTACATGGTTGCTGCATACTGCTTTCTCGAAAACAACGTTAAATTACTATTTCCAAAAATGTAACAACTTCCGATTCTATTGTCGAAGCGTGAAATTTGTAAGATAATTGGTTATTTTTCCTTCGAGTTTCCTGATTGGCTGAATAGTTTAAATTCAAATCAAATTTATCTTCATATGACTGGCTGTTTTCAACTCCCGAGGTCGAAATTAATAGTTATTTTTGTCTGGTGATGTTATGACATATACGCCAATTTTTGCATACATTCGATTAATGTTGTTCCGATTTCCACGGGATGAAATAATGCAATGACCTATCGAAGTCTCGACTTCAATGAGATTTGTACTCCTTGGGTGCGTGTACGTTCTCGGTTAACCAGCTGAGTGACAAATACCAGACCTTCTTTCCAGCGGTCGACAGTTTCTTTGACAAGTATATTTTGCTTAAGAATTTAGGACCGAAACAACAAAATCTCAACTTCAGCCTCGATGGATGCTCAAAGGCTGCGTCCCGCCTCAGACCTGATCTCAACTTCAGCCTCGATGGATGCTCAATGGCTGCGTTCCGCCTCAGACCTGACGATTATGAAAAATAAGAATATGAATAAATTTAATTCTATAAAAATTGCTTTCCGATGTTAAATATCTCGACATTAATGATCTTTCTTGATTGATTTAAGTACCTTTTATCAAAAGCGTAATTATTTTATGTCTTCGACTAAGAATTGTAAGTGACAACACATAATTATTTTGATGTATTCGGGACATAGGTTTGTATGTTTGACAGCTTTCAAATATTACAAATATATCTTACCGCAAGGACAGTATCATAAAAAATTTTAATTGTTAATTTATAAGCTGAAATTGTTTCTCTATGTAGACAGAAGGATAATGAGTATTTTTTTTTCTAAGAACAGAAATATAGAACCTAGCCCCCGCTCCATCGAGCGTCTAATGTACTGCGTGCTTCGCCCATTGCAGACTGCATGAAAAACGCTCTTACGCACGAGATAACTGTCTAAGAGGAAGTTGTGAAGAGAAACCAAGGTAAATAACCAATCACTGAACTTCTCAGTGATCCAGATCTGGGAAGCGATGGAAGAGACAGACAGATGTAGGTTAAGAAGAAGAAGAGAGAGTGAGAGTGGGGTCGAAGGAGGTTCGGCGATGGAGACTGCTAGTATAAATACCAACACATCCAACAGCCTCGGTATATTTCCTATACAGATATCATCAACCTACGCAGAAGGCCGTCCACAATGAAGTTCGTAGTGAGTAGACTCATAATTCTCTAGCATTATTAACCCTTCACAGGACAAACCACGTAGACGTAAACCAGGAATCGCCTATGACAGGGGTTCTCAATCTACGGCCCGCCGTTGGGTTTTGTAGTGCCCGAGAATAATTTTTTGTAACACTATATCACTCTTGGTGACGAAAAATAATTTACCTGATCAAAAGACTTTGTGAAAGTTATTCGCAATAACAAAAATTAAACCTGATACTGAAAGATTATTCACACAAAAGCTGTATCTGATATTTCATTAATGGTTGAATTTCTTATAGTCATTAAGTGTGTAAACCTGTTTTAAAAGCAGGATTAACTCATTAACCAATTCCTTTGGCGTCTTAATAAGATGATCTCATTCATAATCATCGCTGTTCGATTATTTTTATCACATTTGGTCCCAGATCTAGAAGATGCTGAGAATCCCTGGTTTAGGTGGAATACGTATTTATATACCCATGTAAATTGTATAGATTAATGCCAGATCTAGAAGATGCTGAGAATCCCTTGTTTAGGTGGAATACGTATTTATTTACCCATGTAATTTGTATAGATTAATAATACGTAAATACATCGGTAAATTTGTCGATTCGTTTTCAGTCACTTGTCCTAAATCGCATGCGAGTAGACGATATCTTTTTCTTAAAGTTAGTCCGTTTCGGATAACGCGATTAATTTCGAGACATAGAGAACTACGAAATATGGAGACACGCCTCAAAATTCCAGAAATGACTGCACTCAAAACCCAATAAGGAATTAATTAATTCAGATTGTAAGATTAGGTTAGCAACTAATATTTTGTTGTATTGCTCTTAAGTTACATAAATTAAATATCGAGAAAAATAAGCATAATTATAATCAAACTTGTATTGAATAAAAGGTCTTCTTTTAACGTTCTTTGTTAACAGATGTGAAGTTTATGCTTTAGTCGGAAGACCTGAATGAAAGAGAACATAAAATATCTAGAAATAGCTAAACAGCAGAATAATATTAAAATGGACTTTTGGGTGGGCTTTGATCTGGACTTGTCAGGCTTAGGGATGACAAGGGGTGGATGTCGTAATAAACCTTCTGACTTCATGAACGGTGAGGGAATTTCGACTATTTGAATAACTATTAGCTCCTCAGGAATGCTCCACAGAATTGGGTGACATATTTCGTTCATGATGGCATTAGTTTATTGCAGATCGTGGTCCATTGTGATGTTACGTAATCTATAATTTGAAACTAACTCTGATCTTATTGTAATAGCTAATATAAGATGCGTGTATTCATTAACTTCAATTTCACTTTTAAATGGCCTGCATGCCATGAGGAAGTTATGGTTTACTAACCTTTCACGCAAGACGCCACCACGAGGTTGTCTTCTTAATTAGGCATGAGGCCACTTCATCTGTTTCCTAAAGTGAAAAATCGAATGCGATAAAAGTTGTCTGTTCACTTTCTCTTTCGTCATAGTTCTCCTATTTAACGCCATCGTAATAATCGTGTTCACAGTAAGAGACACGAATATTTGCATGTACGTCTGTAAGAACGTATTACGTAAGGTATCTTAAAAACTCGATTTTATACAGGCCTATCAGAAACTTTCTTATAAGTAATGCTTGTGAAAATCATAAAAGGTGTTGAAATACTGAAAGATAATTTTTGATCACGATGTCTATGAAAGATTTATTATTTAATACCGCAATATCTGTAAACGGATTTCAACCAGCCATGGTGGTTATGATTCGTTACGAAAAATCACAGTTACTGTTCGCGACTGTAATCTTGAGACTTGCAAGGAATGCAGGAAGTCCGAAGCGTACTACTATACTGCATAGTAGAATCTATATTCCTCACCCCGCAAGTCTCAAGATTACAGTCGCGAACTATATATATCACGGTTTTGTTAAAGAATTTTCTGTTTACTACGTTGAAAATTAGATGAAATTATATAAAATGGGTGAACCCTTCATTACTAGATAAACACAGGGGCACACTGGAATAAAAATTTTAGATTTAGCGATGTGTAAAACATGATTCTAACACAGCGTTTAATAACGGGATGTTTAATACCACAACAATCTATGCTCGTTTTGAAAATATTGCAGATATTTTCTACATATGTTTGTTGTATTTTTTAATGTCTCACTGACCATATTGTTCATTTATTGCCGATGAGACGGACAGCCTGACGCAGGAAGGGAGATTCCAATCAAACGCAGTTCATGCCACGCTCTTACGTTCACTCCA